TCCTGTTAGTGATCCTTGCCATTAGAGACCTGGTAAAAGAAAACCCTTATTCCTGTGTCATCCATTTATTCATTTAATCCTAGTCTTACTCAGTCTGATCACCTCCTTCCATTATTTCTTCTTTTAATTGCTCATGCTCTAAGTACTTTACAACTTATTTTACCAATTTGTCACTATTCATCTCCAGCTGCCAGTTCATGTCCCTCTCTCCACCCCATTTCCTCCAGGCTTCTCACTTCCCTTCATTCTGGTCCCCAATGCCTTCAACCACCTCCTCCATTCAGGAAGCCTCATCATTCAGTTCACAGAAATCTCTACGTTCACAGCCCAAACTACCTTTTCAGGTTCTGTATTTCTGCTACTCTCAAGTTTCACTTCAGAATATGCCTCCTGCTTCCCAAGAGAAATATAGCATTGCAACAGGAGAAAGTTTTCTTGTCTTAGGAGATAACAAACAACAAGCCTTTTCTCATCTTCTCCCAAGTCTAGATCTATCTGCCTTTCAAACTGAAAAAGCAATGCAAGAAGCTACACAGTGCATGTGTATAATAGGCACTCACTGATGACTACACACTTCAATATCTTTTATATTAGTACTAATGAAAATATTGCAGAAGTCAGAGGCTATAGGAAGCATGTGCAGACAGACCTATTAGTTACTGCCAGAATAACATGCTATAGGGCAAGACAGCCACTCCACAATATTAATTTAGAGCACATTTCATCCTATGGGAATTCACATTGCCTCTATCAAAACTGTTCTGGCAGGGGAGCGAAGTGGGGAAATAAGCTACACCTCACAACAAGGATGCTAATAGCAAGAGGATTTATCTCAGTTGAATAGTTATTCCCAGTACTTGCTGCCTTTTCTTAACACGTGCTCTCTTTGATAGTTCTGACGTTACTACTGCCACCATATTAATGCTTTATTTTGTTTCATAATTTAACTAACCCCCGCCCAGTATGTTACTGAAACTTCCTGTTTGGGTGCCCAAGGAAGATGCATAGAACTTTGCTTTAATTGATGATCAAGTGATCCAGGAACATTGGTGTAAGGGTGATAGAAAGCATTTCTGTAAAAGCGCAATTAAGTAGTTCTGCGAAATTATTACTTAACCATTTCTTCTGAAAGAAATCAATTTCCCTGTTAGATTAATTCAATTATGGATTTAGTAGGTACTGTGCAGCTATTCCAAGAGACCTCTGAATTTTTCATATCTGTTTTTATCTGGTTTCTAGGCTATAAGATCCAAATCAACTCCTACCAGGCACAGAACCTTTACACTGATTTCAGTGGAGTTGGATCCAACCACAAAATCATGCAGCCAGGAAAGTGCTTAGAAAAGCAGGGGAAAGTACTACAAAGCCAAATACAGTTCAGCCTAATACTATGTGCTGTAACCGTGCAGATCTTCTCCAGAAAGAAGTGTTGAGAGAGGAATATCCTGTGTAAGTCCTATGCAGTAAAAGTGTCCTAAAAATGTGAAGTAAGAATTCAGCATAGAAAGTATTGCACTGCCTAAGAAGTAACTCAACTTTAAATCTTGTGAGGAAAGATAAAAATGAGCTAGAAGTTTATGGTTGCCCAGGGAATAGCAATCATAACTTATGTTCTTTGACAGTCAAAAGAAATCATTGCAAATTCTAGTAGTTTCTTCTGAAAGAAGCAACCCTGTGCTTTTAGCCTTCATCTCAAAAACTTAAGAAATAAAGGCACAAAGCAATGAGGACTATTGCCATAAGTCAAAAATGTTTAAGCAAAAATAAATTTAATTAAAAAACACAGTAAGACAATAAATCAGAAGAAAAAAAATTGCATAATAAGACATCAGCAGACAAGATTACTAACCTTCTCATAGGTCCAAGGCAGCAGTCCAAGAATCAGTCAAAAGTAGGCTGAGAGAGTAAGAAAAAAAAGCTGACCTCTTAACCCAAGCTAAGAAGTATCTGAAATAATCAATCTCTATTCCCAGGGATATACCAAGCTCTAGAAAATATACTGCTGGGTAAAAGGCAACTTTCTATCTCCACCAGTGCTCTTGCTGCCTCCTTACCCAGGGCTTCCACAATCACCACTGCTGCTCCCAGCTGTTGTTGATCTTCAGCACGGGCTCGTTCAGCCCCTCCAGGACGTCACCTCTGTGTTTCACCAGCATGCAGAACGCAAACTCAGTCCTTATCTCAAAAAGAGACAGTACTGACCATTGCTTTTTCTTGTCCTCTTTCACCCTACCATTGCTGGCCTCAGCTACAGCAAGAGTTACATTTGCCTATAGCTATATCTGTCAAAGACTTCATTTCTGTGAATTTCCAGGCATGAATTTATTTATTTCTCTAACAGGTGTGTCGTAAACTATGGCACCTGAGGTGTGGAACTGATGCCTTGTGCAGCCTTTCATTCTCCTTATTTGTTTAGAGATTCTAGCATAGGACTCTCTCCTGTGAGAGAGGTCCCTGCCCATGTGATGTCTTCAGGTGGTTCTGAAACACTATTTACCCCTGTTATTTTAAACTGTTCTAGATTTTAAATTTTTCTAGAAAGGAGAACACTGATTTGAAATGTTCATGCTTCTTTCAGCTATTTTTTTTTTTGTAATTTTCTGATACTAGCCTTCAGATAATTATTTCTGAAAAAAAAATTGTAGGTAATTTGATATCAAGACGAAACTTCTGCTAGATGCAGAAGACCATATAAACCACCTACTTTTGACTACTTCAACCACTTGATTCACAACATCTTCAGTTAAGAGCCTAAACTATCTATAAAAGGGTGTGGAAATTTGAAGACCTCTCTGTTTGGTGAGTCTTGACACCTAAATTAGATACCTGAGTTCAAATTATGTGGTCACTCCCTCCATGGAGTAACTTACTGATCAAAGAGAAAGGGTGGAGAAATGACCTGCATGAAGGCTCTGTAGGTGCTTGGGGACAATGTAGTACAAAGGAGAGTCAGTGTCTCCACAGGAAAACAAGTAGGTTTTATTAGCTCTTGTTTAATGATGATACCCCTGGTCCTGACCAGGCTTGTACTGGGCCACTGAAGTGCTTTTCTGCACTAGCCTGCTGGTTTCGGGTGGCTTCATTGCCTCTGGCACAGCAATACGTAGGGTGAACTCAAGACCTAGCACAGGCTTTGGTTTAAGCAAGTACTTACTCCTGGAGAAAGGACAGGAAAATTACAATTCTCTGTAGGAGCCAGACCTGTCCAATAGAAAATGCTTTCATTTATAATCTCTTATGATCAAGTACATTTGCTATGGAAGTAATATCTTCTATGGCCTAGGTATAATCTAATTACCCCTCTAACAGAAAATGCAACTTTTCTAACTCTTTGGCTTGATATAGTGCAGCAAAAGACTTTATTAAAATAGGCTTTTTTTTTTTTCTCATATAATCAGTTGCAAATTGCTGTCAATCACAGCAGCTCTCTGCTGTTTTCCTGGCATCATTTTCGTGTCACATATTAAAAGACTCTCATACTGACATTTACTAGGGCACACATGTAAAGAATTTAACTTGACTGGCACACCCTGTCCTTTAGAAGAATTTGTACTGCTATATTCACTGTGAAGCTAGTGTATATAAAAGAGAAAGAACCACATGCCTAATTTCGAAGGATGAGGCTAACAGTAAAAATTTAAACATATAGCCATAAGCCTAGTAAAGTCAGGATTAGTGCAGACTGTGGTGGAAGCTGCTTCTAGACTGTGGCTTTGTGGATTTTCATTTTATACTAAGAAAACAACCACACAGGACCACTAATTGCAGGTTCCTTGTTCTCTGGATACCCAGCTTGAATCAGCTCAGGGTGATATTCGTAGAGGCTGACAACTCAATAAACCTGAAGCCAGTAGAAGTTCTGGGTGAGTGGTAGTTATTGGACAGGTCTTGAGCATTTCAGGTGAAGTACATGCTTAATAAGGGACTCGGTCTAGTGGCTGCTTCTGTAAATGCTGGGCTAAATATTTATGCAGTCTACGAAATCCTGTGCCAAGGACCCAGTACAAGGATACATGAGGAGGCAAAATGTGCTTGCAGAGTCCTTGGAGGGTATGGTAACAAGCACCATGGGGAAATCTAAGATGAAGTAACTGATTTCATTATGGAGGCAAGGTTCAAATGGCTTCCAAAGGAAAGACAAAGTCACGCCTTGCATGATGAGAATGAAAACACATGGTAAAACATTATCTCCTTCTCCTCTGATTGGGATTTTTGATTTTTTTGATATATTTGATATATGCATGTGCCCTGTGCCACGTGCTCTAGGTGACCCTGCGTGTGCAGGGGGGTTGGTCTACATGATCTCTAGAGGTCCCTTCCAACCTTAACAATTCTGTGATTCTGTGATTATTAATGCATTATTTTATGAATCTCAGTTTGCAGTGTTTGTTCCTTCTAAATGGATACCATCTTATTCGAATTTAGTTAAAAATGTCATATCTTAAAAGAAAAACATTGAAAAACATTGGTGAAAGATACAGTCAATTGAAGATGGTGGAGGGACAGTGCATGACTCTGTGTCCTTTGAGATAACAGGCAATACACTGTTACAGTATATTTTATACACTATATTTAATGGTAGAAATAATTTGTCTTCAAAAGTCTAGCACCTCTAGTAGATTAACCAAAAATTTTGGTGCATTTAAACTTGGACTTACTGTTTCACAACAAATCATGTGGCTCTCATATATGGATTCTTTAAATTCTTTATTTCTTTCAGGAAAACAAGGACAGTAACTTTTTCACTGACTAGTAAACTAATTCTGTATGCCTTGTATAGAAGATAAGATCCTGAATATCCATTAGAGATAAAACTGTTTAAAATATTGCTTTCATAATATAGTAACTTCTAGTTCCTAATCACAGCAATGGATGTTTTTTAAGGGTAAATAACTGGGGTAGTAGTGTAGAGAAAGTATGGGAAGTACATTGTAAGTACATAAGTATAAGACAATATATATGGATTTTTTCGTATAATATAATCTCAGACAAATTTTGAATGTCTAATATTTCTAAAGAAAATACTTTGCAAGTGTGAAACCGGAAAGAGAATTTCAAGGAATGCCTGAATTAAAAAACCCAGCATTTCAGCATCTAAGATTAAATTTTAAACTCCTATCCAGTTATCAAAGACTTAGAGGGAAATTGAGCCTATGTATGCCAGTTATACTAGTTTTACAATTACCAGGGGAGTATTTTTGATTATGGTGCATGGCAGAAATGTTGTTGTTGTTATTTTTTTTTGGAAAAAAAAATAGTATACATATCATAGTCTTTTACTTTTTTCAAAAAATACTTGAAACAGCTTAAGAAACAACATACTTCTCAGTAGCACAGAATTGCACCCTCCAGAAGACTTTTTTTTTTTTTTTTCAAACTCAGGAACACATTTATCTCATAGGAGTTTTCACATGCTTAGTAATATTTACAGTCATATAAAGGTCATGCAAGATCAATCATTGCACATGTATTTCTCAACTACAAATGTTTTCTATTCAGTTGCATTAGTAAGTATTGCCATAACAATTCTCAGCGGAGTGGAGCAACTGCAGCACTAATTAAAAGAGGGCTCCTGAAAGGACCTTGCAATCAATTGAAATGATTTCTACAGGCTGTTATTTAAACTCACATTTATCAATCCTTTGGCTTTACTCCTGCTACATGGCAAAATACCTGAATTCTGAGAAATTAATATTTTGACATGTTGATGGAAGAAGAAAATTTTCAAGCTGGTAGCGAGGCAAAGGACCCAGGGTATTGCTAAGCAGTGCTTTGCTGGGATTTTTTGTATATATTGCAATGCACAGTTTGGCATCTCTCTGTCGTCTTGATGACATCAGTATTATAGAAGAGTCTTCTCTGGCAGCTCAGAAGACCACTGGCAATAAAATAAGCCTTTGAGAAATGAATGGTAATGCTCATCATTAGCTTCACACTGCATAACCTAAACGGACATGGCATATAATTATGCAGTAGATAATTGTTTTGTTTCATACATACGAGACACTACGGAGACCAGAAAAAGGTTTTGTTTTTTTTTCACACAAAAGTATTTACAAGCAGAGACTATTCCAAAATATTTTTCCCATGCTAAAATCTGCAGCAGGATTTGCACCAACTTTGGAAGACAGAATTTGTTGCAACATGTGTATGATGACTCAATGATTCATTTGGAGCTGTATACATTTGACTAACAGCCATGTGTGACACAGCCACTGCCATGAAATAGGTATCAGGGTCTGACTCGTAGCAGGGATAACAGAACAGCTCCCCCTTGGACAATTAGGGGTACAAGTAAGATTAAGCACCAGATTTTGCTTTCCTTCTGGAGGGAAGTTTTGTAATTTTTACAATCTCAGTAGATAAAACTAAAGAATCGGGCTGTGCTATCTTGGTAGTACTTGTCAAGAGCAGCAGGTCCAAGAAGTAAGGGAGAATAAAAGCCAGGTCCGGGCCCTGTATGGCAGCTGCTGCCTTGGCTCCACTGCAGAAATGGCCACATGCTGTCCTGCTGCTGAGTCCTGGGGAACTCCCTTTCAAAGCCGCTGCATCTGCAGCAGCCTAAGTTTCACCCATTAGCGACCAGGGAGTGTAAACTCTCTCTCAGACTCCTACAGAAGTGTCTTATTCACCACAAAGTCAGCACTGCAAGATGAGCACCAGTGTATTTTTCTTAACAGCTCTTCAAGGAACAATAAGTGGCAATGAACTACAGAATGAAATGCAATTCTTTATTGCTGCACTATTTAAAAAAAATTGTCTCGTAGTCCTTCACAGATCCTGAAAATCCATATTGCACATCAGAAAAAAAAATCTTTTTGAAGAACTGAAGATAATGTGTTGTCTGAGTGTTTTGAAGCTCTCTTGAATGCTTCCAGAAGAGTGTCAGCTTGAATATTTCCTTTGCAGGAGTTTGAAACGCTAATATACATTTGTTTTTCTATAACATTGATGTTCACATATGTTAGGAATAAAGTTCTAAGAAAGTTTTAAAGTTATATCCAGGGGTAACTTTCTTTCATTGTGGATTGTGGATCCTGCTTGAATCTGTGATATTATTTTGCACTATAGCTTACATGCACTTCTGATTCTCATACCTATTTCTCCTTGTCTTCACAAGCTACACAGCCACACTGGAGCAAATTACTTCAGTTACCTAAGACGACAAGATTGGGTTTGCATATTCATAGAAGAGATAATAGAGACAAAAGGTGCTGCTTATTATGACAACAAATGTCACTTAAACTAATGACGACATTGTACACAAATAATCAGTCAACTCTTCTAAGTGAAAGTGCAGCTGGAGAAATTTTTGCACAAAAAAATAAGCTGGCACCTGTCATGCTTAAAGGTGCAGAACTGCAGTGTGGGTATGTGATACACCACTCTTTAATTTGCATTTAGAGATTTCACCGTGGAACAAATCACATTTTGGCTATAAATTGCAAGACAGTCTTTGCTCCAGAATAAATCACATTTCAGTGATACAGACACTGTAGCAAGCCAGCAACTCCCTTTAGAAGACTAATCCATGCATTAGTCTAAAATCCCTTCTATGAACTCTCTTATATGATACTCAGTCTTTCTCCAGGTAATAAACTATATTACTCCTTCATCTCATTCTGACCGGGTCCTGGAAATATACCTCAATGTGTTGAAGTGCCCAGATCTAGGGGAAATGATTTTCGAAAGTAAGCCTTAGTTCTGCCCTTTGTTACCATTGCTATTATTATACACATAGAGCTTGAGCCTTCAGCATTGGGGTAATATGCCTCAGTGGGGAAAATGCATCTCAGTAACAGTTTCTCCTGTAGCCTAGAGAGGATTAATTGGATTAATTACCTAGAGAGGAGGAGCCAAAGCACTGCAGACCAGACATGATTCTATAATGCACTTGTTAGCCTAGGGAAACATCAAGTAGAACCCTCAAGCACCTTCTTGTGCTTCCCTGTGGTATTAGAGGCAGGTTGGAATCAGCCCAGAGATGATGAAGAGCTGGGGGCTGTGGCTGAGCAGCACCCTCAATTCTTCAGTCCAGTTTGACTGGAGTCAAATAAAGGAGGAGTCAGACTAAAGATGTTTAACTAAGCAACAGAAAAATCCTCCACGTATATTTTGCAAGCGTTTGTCTCCATGCAACAGAGAAGGCCATATAAACACTAATTGACCTATTACTGTGAAAGCTCCAAACTGGAACGTGTTTGAGAATAGTAGAAAAATATGTTTAGATTGTAAAAATGCCAGCCTTGCATGTAGATTGATCAAAAGTCTAAGGCCTTGGTATCCTTGCCATGTACTCAATACACTTCAACGTGACATGAGCACATAACAGATATCAGGGAATCACTTATTTAAATGCTGTGTGTTCAGGAAGGGCCAATGACTCTCAAATGTAATGTTGCTATCCAATCTATTCCATATTTTAGTCTAATTCTCCAATTTTATTCTTTTAGGATTTTTCCTTATCTGTTGATCCATTTCTGAGAGTCACACCCTTTTACCTTATAGATCCTTGAGGTCCACCTTATCAGTCTTTATTCTAAATTGTTTTTACTGAGCAGTGTATTTAAAGGTTAGTTTATACTAGCAGAAAGCAAGAGACACATACTCAGATGCACATTGCTATATAGTGCAGAAAAAAATTGAGACTATGATTTGTTCTGATATTTTATATATAGACAGAGAGATGAAATTAGCATCAGATACTGAAATATGAAGGCCCAGACTCAGGCAGAAAAATGGAGAGTGCTACAGAACTAATGCCGATGTACTAGATACAAACTTTTCCAACTTGTACAACTTCCAGCTGAGGAAACAGAAGCAAGGAAATTCAATTATTTATCAGATTTAATTAGAAAAGTAATAATCTTGTCACCACTTAATGACAAATGTGTTTATCAGTTCGCTGAACACCCCAGATGATAGTTTTGTGTTGGTGCAGCAGTACTTAAGCTTTTATCTAAGATAAAAAAGGACTTATTTCAAGTTACAATACTTTTGAAAAAAAAAGCAGAAAAACAACTTGTTTACTATTATTGTTGTATGAGACAATTAAAAAAACAAGCATAGGTGTTTGAGCTCTTATTTTAGCCACTCGAGCATCTGATTATTGTTTCACTAAATTACATGAATACCGTTATCTCATATAACTGCCTTGTTGTTAAAATAGTTAGTGGGTTCTGAGTAATTCTCAGTAATTGTTCCAAACCTCAGCTTGTGAAAACTATGGAGTAAAATGAGGATTAGTAGCTAAATCTCTCTCAGATGGTCATATATGCAAAGTGTATTTTAATTGCTAAGTTTTGCAATGAAAGTTTAAGTCCAGATGCCTGAAGGCCAGTAAAATGCAAACTAAAGGTGTTTAGAAATGAGTTAGGAGTCTTACAAACTGAAGAGCTAGGAGATTAAATGAGTTCTTAAAGTTGCAGAAGCCAAAAGCACTTCGTACTGATTCAAAATGGAAGTGTCCGTAAGAATTTTTTTTCAGTTTCACCCAGTCAAATCTCCCCTCTAAATATCTCAGAAATCAGCTTTAAAAATAGCATATTTAGCTGTTTTAAAAAATATACTAACTAAAACACTAGATTGAATAACCACACCACAACACAGTCGTGAGAAACAGGTCACCTGTTTTTCAGTGTGTAGCAAATCTTTAGCTTTATCTTTAGCTCAAGATAAATTTTGGGTACAATATCAGTACTAGTTAAAAAATTTCTAGCCATAAGAAAGCACAAACAGTTTTACACATACCTAAAGCTTTGATTGAGCAAAGGAATTCCTATCCTTCCTGAGCATATCTGACTTTTAAATATTGAGACTTCCTCCAAGCACTGGACTTGCCATTCCCACCCATGAGCCAATATACCCAACCTGTGCAGCCCCACCACAGACAGCAAAGATTAGTACAAAGCTGGCCAGATTTCCAGTGTGTTACTGGATAGGTCAAGATTAGTTAAACATTGGAAGAAACATTAGGAGGATCTCTAGAAAATGTTTTAGAAAAAATATTATT